GTACCATTCATTCCGTTTCATACAGATAAATTTAAGAGATTCAATGGTAATGATATCAGGGTTCCCTGATGTCAGTCCCAACAAGATGAGCAAATACATAAAAGTACAGAAAGACATACGACAAAAAAACACGAAGAATAATGTTGTATATAAGATATCATGTGCAGATTGTGATGCGTCTTATATCGGTCAGACTGGTAGACAGTTAAAAACCAGAATCGCAGAGCATCGGAATCATATTAGACATAACACATCTACACGTTCGGTTATTACTGATCATAGAGTGCAACATGATCATGAATTTCTTTGGGATGAAGTGGAAATTCTTGATGAAGAACCGTGTTATAAAAAGCGTTTAGTATCATCTGAGATGTTGAATATTAAAAGACAGAATAACAGTCTTAACTTACAATCTGACACGATAGATCTCCACGAAGCATATTCTTCGATTATAAACAAAGTCTGACATTGTCATGTTGTATTCTGTATCAGTTTCCTTCAAACATTCATAGTAGCGTCACATACTTATTAATTGCGGAATAATGTATATCAATTATATAATTTTGACGTTTAAAAACTACACATTGACGAATAGATTGCGTAGTGTACTGACTGATTTAGAGAGCTTTGAATAATGTTGCCCATCTCCAAAGGTTTGATATTGTTACAATTTTTATTAACGTACAATTTTCTTGATGGATTTATTATTATTTTTTTTTTTTTTTATTCTAAAGCTTGTCATATCTACATAATTTTTATAGTTGATTTTTTTCTTACGATCTACTAATCGCTAGAGGAACAATAGTTGGATGTGATGAAGATGGATTCGCAGAATTAATTCGATAAATTTTAACTTTAAGAATATGTTTGCGCTTTTGAAAAAGACTCAATCTACGAGTCGAAACGTTAAGCAGGTTTTTGAATATTGTTATTTTTTAATGTACATCTTCGAATTTTAAACAAGTCTTTTTATATTGTTAATTTTTAATGTACATCTTCGAATGAATTTTTTCTTTTGAAATTAATTTATTACATATATGCGTTTTTTTCTTTAATTGTTGTTTTAAATTATTTCTTTTGACTCTTACAACGTCCTTTTAACTTTTTTCCTTTATGTTTATAATAAGAGTCCTTTATCAATTTTATATTATTACTTTTTAAATATGTAAAGAAAAGAGAGGACAAATATTAGAAAACTAATACGATATCTAATACGATATCGAAGAGGTCTTTTAATAATTTCACGGTAATTCCATGACTCAGTAGCGTGCTTGGTGATTTTAAAATGTGTGAATGTACCAAAAAGATATCAGGTCAGCAATTACGTCAGACGGTTACATTAAGTCGGAAAGATTCATAATTCACTTCCTAC